AACGAGGAGCGGAGGAGTGGACGTACCAGAAGGAAAAAAAAAATAACAGGTGTAGTGCAGCCGAAGAAATGGTTCGACCGGAGGAGTGGGCATATAAAAAATCGAATGGATTCCCCATTAGTGCAGCATAAGAAATGAAAAAAAAAGGAGATGAATTTTTACTTGGAAGAGAAGGAATGTCGAAGAAGCAATGAGCGGCTAGGGCAGAGCTCGATTGCGAACGAAGAAACGCGGCCTTTACGTGGAAGAGAAGGAATGCGGAAGAAGAAGGGAGCGGTAGGGAGCGGCTAAGGCAGAGCTCGATTGCGATTCCTTATGGTGAGGGCAACGGAGTAATTCGGGAGTAATACACAACGAAGGAAGGTGGTCAGCGGGGTTCATCCTGCAGGCGTCGTTATTCGCAAATTCAAAATCGCAATTTTAAAAATGTGCTATAAACGTGAAAAATAAATAATACGGGGGAGTTTTCACAACACCGCCAGCTATTTTAAGCTACCTCAAACGAGCCCTAAATTGTCTTTAGTCATACAAAAAACAAATTTGCCCTTAAGCAAATAAAAAATAAATTTGCCCTTAGGCTTGGCGCCCTCGTAACAATACTCTCCCTCTCAAAAGACACCTTGTCCTCAAGGTGAGACAAATTAGAAGTATTCCTACTCCCCTACCACTCTCTCTATTTCTTCATTTTCTGCTTCCTCGTCCTGCACTATGAGAATTTGTAATCTTCGATCCTTGCAACGGCGTCCTGGAATAAACTTCTCATCACACCAAAAACATAACCACTTCTCATCACACCAAAAACATAACCCCTTGGCTCATTTCTTCTGAATCCCTATCTTTGTGAGGCGCTTAAGTGTTTCTCCCAGTCTGGTCCATTATTCGTGGCCTGTGCAGCCTCCCTCCGGACTTCCAGAGTTTGGACCTTTGGCATTGACATGGTTGCGACCGTTCTGTACGACACTCCATCTGTGTTGTTCCTGTTAAATTTCATCATGTGGTTCTTATCTTTCACCATATGGGCTAGCTCCATTATCTCCCACAATTCCCATAGTCTTAGTAGTCAGAGTGTTGCTTGTATGTCGGGATTTAAGCCTTTTATGAAATTTCCCTTCAGTCCTACTTCAGAAACCCCTCATAGTCATCTTGACAATAGTTCAAATCTCGCTTTATATTCTATAATCGTCCCCTCTTAAGTCAAGACATAGAATTGCTTGTGTAGGTCTCTTTCCTGTATGAGTCGAAAATTTTCCAACAAACAATCCTTAAATTCATCCTATGAACGAATCGGGTATTTAGCTTCCCTCCACTGAAACTATGCTAAGGTTTTCCCCTCCAAACACAATCCTATTGCCAAGAGTTTCTTCTCCTAGTTTAACCCATTCACCGCGATGTATTGCTCTGTTTGGTATTCTCACCCATGTGCGTCTTCCCCCTTCGAAGATCGACACCTTCAACTTCCTAACTTTAACTTCTCTATCCCAATTTCCTCTTCCTCTGTTGTTTCCATTCATGTATATAGAGCACAACTCCTATTTTTGACCGTAGCCATCTCCTCTCACTGCTTCTCTCCCTTCTTCTTCGTGCTCGTCCAAATCTCTGGCATGTTTTGACCTAATCGCCACCATAAGAAATCTCTAATCTTCCCCTAACCAGAGCCTTGAGAAGAGGTTCGTGACATTTGATATCTTCTCCTTTCGATCTTGCCATGGATTCTCCAGTCAACCTTTATTTAAAAATTGCAAATTGAACTATGGTAGGGTTCTTGGATTGCACCTCAAGGAATCTCTTTAGTATCTCTTAAATTTTCCTCATGCTTTCGAACCGATCATTCAGCCGATTCTCCATAGATTTGATTTGACTATCGATCTACTTTTCCTCCAATTACTAGTCTAAGGATATGCTTTGGGGAAAAAAAAACCGGCAAGGTACTCTACACCTTCCTGCAGGAACCAAGGAGGATATCACGCTGCATGGATAACAGCCAGAAACCTTTTTGGAAGAAACGAGAAGGAACCCTTCCTGTAGGAACCACGCTGCAAGGAATGCGGTAAAGAATCCTTCCAACAGACCAGCCGCAGAAGGAATGCGGTAGAAGAAGCCTTTGTAAAACGGCAGAAGAAGCAGGAGATCCACGCTGTGATTCAGCGACAGGAGGAGCAGGGAATCCAGCGAAATCCTCGCCCGTCCTCGATGCGATCTCGTCGCCGCTTTCCTTGCGCTAAAATCACGGCCCTACTCTGGGATGGAGCGGGAGGAGAAAGCTGGCTCTGCGTCTGTCATGCGGTGTCTTCGCGTAAGCCATCGCGGTTGCGCTTTACCGAGAATGCAACTCACGACGTTTTCCGCACGCCCCTTAGCGATGCAGCTCTGGCTCGGTACGGTGAAATCCTCGCCCGATAGCAAGTTCGGTCGCTCGATCCCTTCTCTCCTTCTCTGATTGATCGAACGTCAGGAAGAGTTGTGACCTTCCAAAATGGTGGCTCTGATATCAATTTATTAAGGTTTGACATTCATTTTTTTTTTACTGAAATTAAGGCAAATCAAAATTTCTTCAAAAATTCAAATTACTCGCACAAATACAAAAGATAAGCACAAGAGATTGACCATCTCTCCTAATTCATGCACTTCTAGAGCTAGGAAATCTCCCTGAAAACTTAATCATAAGACTCACAATGCAATCTCATGCATAAACCTAACCCTAAACATACCAAACAAATTTATACCCAATAATATTAATAATAAAATGCTAAATTGCCCTTAGGCGTACAAAAGACAAATTTGCTCTTAGACTAGACACCCTCGTAACAATATCTTAAAGAAATATTTAAGTGAACTTAAAGATGCTCTTCTTATATTATTTATTGCTTATTAATATTAATTACTTGAGTTTTTTAAATCAACAGTCATTTGAAAGGTTCTAACAAGTGGGATTTTGCAAGACAAAATGGTAAATTCTATGATACCATTGGACAAGAGGACGCTATGGGACAAATGAATTTTTAAGGTTAAGAGGAAAAGAATAATCGTAAAAGATACAAATCAAGACTTGTTACGAAAAATAGTTTTGAAAAAAGGGTAAAAATTTCAATAAGATTTCTTATCACATTTTTACTTGCTACTGTTAGATTGGTTTTTGGTATAGTAACGATAGAAATTTTCTACGTTAGGCCATTATTTGCCAAGCTAACATTTGTTCATGGTGTTATGGAGGTGGACATTTATATGATGCAAATTAATTGCTCAATGCCCTTGGAATAAAGGTTTTATTTGCAAATGGAACAAATGCTTATATAATTTGTAACATGCTCCTTATTAGTGTTATCAGAAAATTGATTGTTTCATGCATTAGATTGCCTTTACCATTTAAGATGTAGATCATTGTTGCTATTGAAAAAGAGTTTGTAAGTTTTGTATCAACTTGCTATTATATATGGATAAAATGCTACTGCCGAAGTATATGTTAGCGAGATGATTGGCATTTCGGAAATGAAACATACTGCTAGAAGGTTTTATTAATGTTGATCTTGATGATTATTAGGGTACTTGATGAAGTACAATTGAATTTATTTATAGTTTGGGTAGAAACCTTATGACTTAGGTGTCATAATTATCAAAAAATACTTTCCTTATCAAATATAAAAATAAAATATGTTGTCATTAATGAGGGTGGTAAAAGGAAAAAAAAATGCAAAAACTTTCTTGAAGGAATTTGAGAAAGAAAAGGATGAAAATGATTTTTGTCTATGATTGTTAGTGTTACACTTCTTGTTAATAATATAACATTTTGTTCGAGGACAAATTATAATTAGCTTAAATATCAATTATTTGATGGTCTGTTAGATGAGAGTATCTTATTGATGAAAAAATAATAATAAAGGGTTTTAGAACCCAATTCATTGTTTACCAAAACATTCACTACAAACACCATCAAATTTTCTAAAGCCTGAGTTAACCACCATTAAGGATTGAGAGATGTCACGTAAAGTTAATTTTACTAGTTATTATATTAAAAGTTGTCTCCAAGAGGGAAGATGTTAATTTGTAAAGCCCATTTTTTACCCTACGAGTACAATTCAAAAATATTATGATTTAGATAATCAAAGGTTCATTAATTTATTATGGCTATTTGATATCTTTTCCTCGAAATTTATTATTTTTTTGTTTAGTTATCCATTATTCTCCATAAATATAAAGGATTGTTTGAAAAAATTTGATGCACACTTCTCTATAATTGTTGAGCATATTAATTTTGTTGTCATATGGATGTATGCAAAGTAATATCGTTAAATTGTAAACTTTGGTCATTCATTTTGAGTGTTTTTAGTCATCTTGCTATCTTCACTTACATTATTGTTCTCTCTCTCTCTCTGTCCCTCTCTCTCTCTCTCTCTCTCTCTCTCTCTCTCTCTCTCTCTCTCTCTCTCTCTCTCTCTCTCTCTCTCTCTCTCTCTCTCTCTGTCTCGGTCATGTTTCCCCAAAAACTTTTCCATCTATAAGCTCATTAATGCTTCATTGTGGGCATTCATATTCTAATTTGGTTAATTTTATTTAGTAAAATTTAACCAAAACCCCTAGCTAAGTTATTTTTTTGAAAATCTTTATTGAAAAAGTCCATTATAACCAAATAAAATCCAACTTAATTTTTGTCAATTTTCTCGATCAAATGGTTGAAATCTTATGCATCAACAAGTTAAAAATAAGAGACTAAACCAAACACATGCAGGAAGTTTGATAATCTTCTAGATTCTTGCATTTTGGTATATGACATTTGGTTTCAGTTCTTTTTGTGATGAACTAAATTAACTGAACAAAGCCCACCTACATGTAGCTAGGAGTTTTTTTTTGCCTTAGATTTAAAGTTCGATCTGTTTGATTTTCCAATTGATAACTATAGATGGTTAACTCATCCAATGCGCTGAACTGGAGCAATTGATTTTGCGGTCCTATGAAAAACAATCTAATTTCTATAAAATTTTGCATGTTCTCTTTTTTGCTTGCAGGTGGCTTCCTGCCATGGCTTTCATGGAAAAGATTCTTGACTGGCTAAGCTCAAGTTACCAGAATATCTATTTCTACCAAATTGTAACCTATTATTGCCAATTTTCCACTTTTCTCTATATATGTGATGGCTTTTTAATATTTAAATGAGTGCTTTCGTTGTCAAAGGTCAATGAGTTCACCTTGATACAGATGTATTTTGATAATTTATTTATTTTTACCACAAATCAGAGTTGTAACAGTGCCTGGCCACATTGTAGATTGACTTAGAGAGGTCAGTTTAATAGACGATTGACCTTGGATACATCACAATAATTTACACATCAATCCAAACTATTTCATTTCCTAGCCCAAGATTTATCGGTTATAGGGTTTATTGCACCATGAAATCTCAATGAGAATGACCACATGTTGCTTATTGTGTTGAGGTTGGATCATGCTTTTTTTGAACCTTTCAGTTTATTTTGCCAAAATTTGGCCTAATTGATATTTTTAAAGTTGAGGTTCTAACTTTTGAGTATCTATCATATTCTCCAGAGTGTACCTACTGCTATAAAATGTGCACTACATCTCTGGATGCATCTTAGGTATGCATGAACATGAATATGACTTTGTATGACTAAGTCCTTCAACCTATTGAGCAACCTTGAACTTTAAACACCTTGTCTTGGTATACTATTCATAAGTAACTTTCATGAGAGAATGCATTATTTGATCCATCCATCAAGGGGAAGTGTAAATCTCCTACATGTTATCTTCCTCAATACTTTTATTCAATAATTCTCTTTTGAGCTGAGCTATCGAGGTGCCTAATTAGCCAGGATGTCAACATATTTCTTCTCTTCTGAGGGAGGTCTTAAAAAACTTGCACTTATTAATCTTCATCATCACCATTATAGAGTAGATATGATCTCAATATTACAGGAAAGATAATTTAAATCGGTGGAAACATTATGTTATTTATATGCGACGACAAAAGCAACTCAATTTCAAACATGAATTTTTTGGCCGAGTAATCTACGAGTTTTCAGTTGGCTCATGTTTCACTTTTGTCTGACTGAAGCATCGATTGAATTTCAGTTGAAAATTTTTGAGGTAGATTAAAATGTCATTTATATGCTAGAATTCTATTTTGTACCTAAATTGATGTCTGAATCCCTCATTTATTCTGTTACACTCTCGTTCTATCCCCCTCGACTGACGCTCTCTCCACTCTATTCCACACTATTCTCACACTTAGGAGAACAAATTTCTCTTTTTCATGAGTAAATTTAAGGTAAGACTCATTTTCCATGTAGTCGAAACATTTATTTGAAATTTCTTTTATTAAAACTCGGGATATGCGGATTTCATTTTATTTAGTAAATGTCTACAATATGTTGATATTGAGTTAAAATGTGTTTATGTTTTGTTGATCTTACACTATAGGATTAGCTTGTTTAAGCTTTAAATGTTGTTTAGCTTAGGCATTAGTTGCTTTTGGCTATGTTTTCCTATACTATTTTAAACATTTTGTTATATTTAGCTTTTTCATTAGTTAGATTTAGGTTATGTTTAGGTTTAAGTTTTTTTAAAGTTTATGTTATGTTAGTTTAGCTTAAACATTAGATAGATTTTGGCTTTATTTAAGCATTTGTTAACTTTTGGTTATATTTAGGTTTACGTTATTTAGTTTCATGATATTATTTAGTTTTAGATTTATGTATTGAATAATAGGCTTTATTTTGTTATAGATTTTATGTGTGTATGCATGGAAGTTTAGGCTTAGATATGTACATTTATGTACGTAAATGGGGAAATTAGGTACATACCACACAATTCTTATAGATGTGCGTATCTAAGAACTAAATTTTAATATTTACATTACATTCAACCCAATTTTTATGTATTTACCTTATAAGAACTAAACTTCAATTGTTGCATACATACACATGCATGAAAATGTAAATTTCACATTTAAAAAGTTAGTGATAGTGATATTTTGATGTGATGTCAATAATTTGAGTTTTATGCAAGTAATTGTGAAAGTTTAAATGTTAGATATGTAAATTTATAAGAACTACAACCTTCTTGGAGGAGATAAGATAGGATCTTGCTCTTCCATTTTTGGATGTACCGGGAAAGTTTAAATGTTAGATATGTAAATTACAACTACCTTACATCTATGAGCAATGTAGATGGCCCAGAAGATGACAATCATTTCAGCTTCCAATGCATCCACAACCATAGTTGGAGAGTGGAAATGTAGAAGGCACTTACCATTTGAGTTCCTGAACACTCCACCAAAACCACCGTCACCGTTGGAAAAGCTGCCATCAATGTTCACCTTTAACTAGTTAGAAGGAGGAGCCCAATAAATTAGGGAGGGGTTATCAGTTTATCTTTAGAAATGACTACCCAATTCAAGCAATTGTTGGGGAACTTATGACGCTGAATTAGTTTATCAATGTAAGAAATGCAATTTGTGACCACACGGTTTACCAATGACTACTTATTCTCATATTTTACTTAATTTCTGGACATCCATAAGAACCAGGCAACAATGCAAGGAATGACGGACAAATCTACTTCATTCTATATATATATATTTAAAACATTTATGTGGTATGTATGTAATATGTGGATTGAAGAGTTTGTGTATCGATCCCACATAAGAGTTAATTTTTTATTGAGGTGAACTTCTGGTCTACTAATACTAGGTTTAATTTGAAGGGTTGAGTGCTTTAAAATTTAACATTATAAAAATTGTAATTTTTGAAAAATAAAACATAACGTAGAAAGGAGAGTTTTCTGATGTGGCGAGTATCTTCCTTGAATTGAACCTAAGAAACATAGATTTATCCAAATGATCAAATGCAGTTAAAAATTGTGAGCAAATCTACTCCTTCGTCTTTTTCATTGTCATAAAAAATCTTGAGGTCTCATATTACAATTTAATTTCCTAAATCTTGCAAAAACTCCTAGGATTTTGTGTTTCCTATTGATTACATAATCTTAACATCAATATTCTGATTTACTTAGAAATGTATGTTAACTTAGTTGTTCCACTAGACTTCTTCCGTTATCCTAGATCACAATAAATTTAAATATTCCAAACGACAAATTTTGAAGTAAATTAAACATGCAAAGTTTGCTTATTAACATTCCCTAAAAGATTCTAGAAATTACACAACATGGATATCTCTGAGCTTTTTATATTACCAATCCAAGGGAGAGAAAATTCTAGTATCCGAACATGAGAGATGAACACAACAAAAAGTCCATGAAAATTGTACAATCATGCTTATACAATTGTAAGAACAATCAAACCTAGTTGACTTTTGCTTTGCACCACAAGGATTCTTTTTTATTTTTATAATGAAACTCCACTTGGCTTTGCCCTTTTACACACTCAAAATGTAGAAAACAAACTCTCTAAATCTTCTAAGGCTTCCTCTCTGCTTAACACATAAAACAGGTAAATAAAAATGATATTAGAAGCCCCAAATCCTTTTAATCGATTATATTTAAGTATTTCAACCACCACTGTTTTGGGTTCTTTTTAATTGAATATCGGAGTCGCCAGCCTGTCTGATTATTGTCTTATAGTTCTCTTTCCCAAATAACACTTTTTCTTGAACCATCTAAATAATTTGAAGAGGACAGTTTGGAAAGAAAGTACATTAAGATAAAACCAAACAAATATATTAAATATAAACACAAATAACTTGTGTAAAGTTATCTTTGTACAATAGGTCAAGAGTGTACTTCCAAACAAGATTGAGTCATAACTCCTTTAAAGCCTTATCCACGAAAAAGTTCCTTATATAAGAAACCCATATAAACGTAGAAACAAAAATATATATTTTGTTTCGGGGTCAAGAGCACTCTCAAAAACACGTATTTCTTTGGTTAATTACATATTGGGGGATACTCAATAATACTCTCGATAATAAAAGTCCTGCTTACATCTTTATGATAACTAGTGAAAATAAGTATATCAAATTGGCATAATTATCTTAATCAGGAGCATCTTGCCGCCTCCAAAACCTATGTTGAGCCACATGAGAGAGGGTAAATTCTTCATATCCACAAATAGACGGTGGCATGCTGACAAGCAAGGCCTAGGAAACAACCGAGTCAACTTTACAGAAGCATCCCTATACTTCTAAGCTCAACTGACCATAAGGGCAGACTAAGTCACCGTATCCCAAGCTACCAACATTTTATCAACATTCGAGGCCAGACCATTGAGACGACATTAACGAAGTCACTAAGGATGACAGGGCTTAAAGGGCTCAACAAAAGAGAGGTGGAGAAATCCTAATCAGGTAGAGTAGTCGGGTCAGGATACCGTAAATTTGTCATCCCAAGCTATTAGGATTCCAAGTATACCTAGTCGTGAAGGTAGAGTTGGGATCCTAAAAGTTTGGAGGAGCAGGTCTCCAGGCGTGTTGTTGCATTGACTGCCGAGATGGAGCCCTGCTTTACTCAGATGAGGTAGGAGCTAGAGGCAAACATGGAGGCCAATTTGAATGGCAAGTTAGGTGCATTCTGCCAGCTGGCAAAATAACATAGCAAGGAAACATTGGAGGAGGAGGAGGACGAAGATGATGAGGAGAAGATAGAGAATGAGGATTAGCACGCTAATTTTCATTTTATCGAAGATGATGAGGAGAAGACAGAGAATGAGGATTAGCACGCTAATTTTCATTTTATATGTATATGATTATGTTGAACATTTGAGTAAATATTTTCTTATTTAACAATGTTGTATTTATGTTAAATAAAATGCATTTCGTTTCTTTAGTTATTTGATTGAATAATTTACTATTTGAATGTGGTTTTTGTCTGTAAAATGCTTATAATCATTAATTAAATGTTGTGATTGAAGGTTTGGTAATCGTAAATATCAAAGAGGGAATTTATTTATTTATTTGTCGATTCTACAGGTTTTCGATGGCTTACTATCAGCGTTGCAATGACTATTTAAATATTAATTACCATAATTGACGATTTATAACGTCGATTCTATTTGCATCGAGTTACCAATGAGGCATTAACGAACATTGCTTCCATACAAACTGGCGGTTGACTGATGACCTCCTCGTCGATTACTAAACCAACACACCTTCGACATCAAATTGACGAAACACCTGCATCATAAAAATAATTTTCATGACATTTTTTTGATGGTGTTCTCATCTTTTAACAAAACCGACACACCTCAGCACTGAACCAACGGAGCACCTTGTCATAAAAAGATTGTTGTGACAATTTTCTGACAGTTTACTAGTCACTAATTTCTGGCGATGTTATTGTTGGTTAACAAAACTGACAAAAAGCAACAGTGGACCGTGCTT